GATGAACACAGCAGGCCAAGCAGCATCATAGGAGCAGAGCTGCTTGGCCTGCTGTGTTCATCCAGCCCTGCACCTTGTTGTCTCGGATTCTCCAGCATCTGCAGTTCCTACTGTCTCTGCCTGAAGTACAGTTACTTTGTGGATTCTTTTTTTCAAACTGAATGATCTGCACGTGACTTCCATCTCAGTGAGCAACTTCCATTTACGTAGGATGCCCTCTTGTGGCACTGGGGGAAATGTCAACCTCTGGACCAAGAAGCCTGTCTTCAAATCTCGCTTGCTCCAGAAATGTGTATTAACATTGCTGAACAGGTTGTTTAGAAAATAGTTTAGATTTTAAAAAAAATACTTTTCAGTTAGGTATGGGTAACCAGGAGATGCAGAGCTCAGTTTCAATGCCTTTTCACAACAAGTTTATTTCAGCTCGGGTTGACTTGTTTATGGAGCTTGGCTCAACTTGATCACAGCCATTTTGATCAGTATTTATGCTCTTTTAAATAGCCATTTTAGTTCATGCAGATCTTGAATATTAAAATTGAGGTGGAAATTGTGTATTGATAAATCATCTCTACCAAAATTGTAACTAATGCTACATTATTCATACCTTTGTCCATGTTTCAGAGTTGATAGAGACCGAAGTGGTGTTATCACTGAAAGTGAGCTTCAGCAGGCTTTATCCAATGGTAAGATGATATATGCAGTCTTTAATTTTGTAGTGTCCTTCTTGAAACTAAAAAGAAAGTACCGTTTACTGAGTATCATGGCATTGAAATGAAATTTCATGATGGTGGGATAAATGAAAAGATATCAATGCTGGCTTATATATAAAGCTTATGTAAAGGTCCTGGATTGCAAATTTTAAATGCACAGTAAAACTGAACTTAATTCATATTGCTTAAAGAGTTACTGTTTGCTTTGGCTTTCATGTGTAAACCCTGTGAATCATGACTAGTTACAAAATAACATTTAATTTTCACTCTCGTTTCTCATTCAGTACCAATTTTTCATACTTTAATTTTTATCCGATATGTTGGTTGTGAGATTAATTGGCATGCAAGCAGTCCTGTTTTGAAGCTTGACAGGGGTGGTATTTTATTTTTAGTTCTTTTTTTTGTTATTCCTTACTTCCGGCATGTCCACCTCCAGTTAGTTTGAAATCCGTTCTATTCAGCATGATAGTTCAGACAATGTAGCGGATTGTATCTGCAATATGGAGATAGGGCTTCATCTCCACCAGGATTGTGTGGTTGTCATTCTTTTTGATACTGTCATGGACTGATACATCTGCTGCTCGTAGACTAGTGAGCCTAAGATCAAGTATATTTTTCCCTCTTGCTTCCCTCACCATTTGTTGCAGGTGGGCCTGGTCTAGTAGCTGTGTCCTTTAGGACTTGGTTAGCTTGCTCAGTAATGGTGCTACTGAGCCACTCTTGGTGATATACATTGAAGCCCCCCTCCAAAGTACATTCTATGCCCTTGCTTCCCAAAGTGCATCTTTACATTTGTTCAATATGGAGAATTGATGCATCAACTGGGAGTGGTAGATGGTAATCAGGTGGTTTCCTTGCCCTTATTGGACCCCATGATGTCTCATAAGGGTGAAGAGTCGATGTTGATCACCCCCAGGGCAGCTCCCTCCTGACAGTATACCACTGCAACCTCTGGAAGGTCATTTTGAAGTGGAGTCTTTGAAACTTGGGCAAACAGTAAATCAATTCAGCACAGCATGTGATTGAACTAGTACACGTGGCTTTGATCTAACTCAACACCTGCAAATGCATGTATTTCCCTGTAAACTGGATGAGTTGTATTAGATAAACGTCCTTATGTCAATGTATTCACATTTTTTTTCTGTTCCCTAAAAGATTAACTAAGTTCTTTGTGGTGGATAATTTATCTTGGTTTGTATGTAAAGACAAGTAAATATTGTGATAGCATTGTGGTGAATGTAATCCAAATATTTTAGCAGTATTGAAGAACCAGTGCCGGAGGTTTGAGTCAAATAGAGGTGATTTGAGCTGTGATTGAGAGATCAAAGTTGCCAGATTTAAAGAGCGTTGCGGAATTTGTCACCTCAATTCTCTACTTCGCTCTTGCTCCATCCCTGTCTTTGACCTTCTATAATTCTCTAGTAAAGCCCAAGGAAATTAAGAACCAAGTCGTTCATCCTTGGAGGAAAGGATATAGTTTAAAATTTACAACTTGGTGTGACTTTTTTTTTGATTAAGCAAAACAGTACTGATCACAGTAGCATGGATGTTTTGTGTTGAGTTTGGGAATGAGAGGCTGAAGTGCAAAGGTAAAAATCTGCCTCCTGGGTAGCAGCATGTTCCCTGGGAGTGAATTGCCCATTTGCTTTCTCAATTGCAGTTAATTGCTAGGAAGGAAACAAGAAGAAATTACACTTCCAAAGTTAAGTTGGTCTTTTTCCTTTGATAGGAACATGGACACCCTTCAATCCAAAGACTGTCAGGTCCATCATAGGTAAGAATCTGTTCATTCCATTTCATTTGTTAATAATAATTACAGCTCACTATTAGTGGAAATATTTCTGTTGTAGTAATGTTATTAATTAGCTGCTGGAAAAAGCCTTGCATGAAATGCAGAAAGGAAAATGTGATGGTGACCAGATAAAAATGGAAGGGGGATGTTTCACTACTTGGGAATTACAATGGGTTAATGGCTGTGAAACTGATCTTTTACAAAGGATTAGATCTAGAACATGAATTTTCTTTTCGTACTGCTAATCATCTGTTTGAAGTCTGGATTAAAGATTACTTTAATAGGATGATCTTCATTAATTGATTAATACAACCAAATTCTTGATTCACGGTTTAGCAATGACAGTGTAGAATACTGTCCATGAAACACATATTAAGCTAGTTGACCGATTTAATAATAAAACAAATTAAAGGGAGGGTCACTTTTAAAACCTGCACAGATGTCCATTTTTGTAGTTGTTAATTTGAAATTGTTTCTAGTATAAATCCATAGTCCATTCCTAGCTTTTTGTCTAAACGAATAAAAGGTAAGAAATATAGTATAGACATTACTGTGGAAGATTGGAAAATCAAGGTAAGTATATGGCTTGACAGGAAGTTTAAAACTTGGCCCACCAACTATAATGGGCACAATAATGTTATTCTCTGAAGTTCTCAATCTACTTTTGTTAATTCACAAGGAGTTGAGTAGTAATTATTTAGCATAGTCCTTTTACCCGAGTTCAAATTCAACACCAATTTTCTTTCACTACTTGTAGAGATATATAGAGTGGGTGCAGAGGAGATTCGCTCGGTTGATTCCAGAGTTGAGAGGGTTGGATTATGAGGAGAGACTGAGTAAACTGGGATGATACTCGTTGGAATTCAGAAGAATGAGGGGAGATCTTATCGAAACATATTATGAAGGGAATAGATAAGGTGGAGGCAAAGAGGTTGTTTCCGCTAGCAGGTGAAACTGGGACTAGAGAGCATCGCCTCAAAATAAAGGGAAGCAGATGTAGGACTGAGGTCAGGAGGAACTTCTTCACCCAAAGGGTTGTGAATCTGTGGAATTCCCTGCCCAGTGAAGCGGTTGAAGCTACCTCGCTGAATGTTTTTAAGGCAAGGTTAGATAAACTTTTGAACAGTAAAGGAATTAAGGGTTATGGTGAGTGGGCAGGTAAGTGGAGCTGAGTCTCAAAGATCAGCCATGATCTTATTAAATGGCGGGGCAGGCTCGAGTGGCCAGATGGCCTACTCCTGCTCCTAGTTCTGATGTTTTTATGAACTGAAATGCAGTTGCTTAGTCTTAACTAAGCTCATAGCAGGTAAAATATTTAGTACTTGGTTGTCAGAGCGGTTTTATTCTTTGTGGTTAAAAGGTAATTTATTTCTCTCCTTTTGTATTTGATTTGAACTTTTAATGTTAATATCAACTAATATGGCTCCACATTAAATGTATTACACAATGGCACATTTTTAGTTTTATTGTAAACACAGGAATGTTTGACCGGAATAATAGAGGAGGAGTGGATTTCAATGAATTCATGGGTCTTTGGAAGTACATAATTGACTGGCAGAACATCTTTCGAACTTATGACCGGGACAACTCTAATTTCATCGACAAAAACGAACTTAAACAGGCATTGTCAGGTTTTGGTAAGTGCTTCAGAATTTGAGTATGAACTTAAGTTAATTAGCTTTTTAAAGGGAAAGTAGTAATAGGCACCAAGTAGGATTACAGAACCAAAAACAAATATTGCTGGAAAAGCTCAGCAGGTGTGGCAGCATCTGGAGAGAGGAATCAGTTAACGTTTCAGGTCCAGTGACCCTTCCTCAGAACTAACGGTAGCTAGGAATATGTTGGCTTTTGAAGTGACTGTTATCACATAGTCTGTCATTACATACTATCTATTGTTAGCTACTAACAGTCTCCATTAACAGCTATTCACTGTCCTAGCCAGATCGTTATCCACTCCTTTGTCTGTCCAACTGTTCTTCTCTCTCTTTGGGCTCTATCCCCATATATTGTTTACTCCTTATCCCCTCCCTCCACCCTATCTTCTGTATATAAACCAATATTTTCCTAGGTACAATCAGTTCGGAGAAAGAGTCACTGGACCTGAAACACTAACTGATTTCTCTCCACAGATGCTGGCAGATCTGCTGAGCTTTTCCAGCAACTTCTGTTTTTGTTTCTGATTTACAGCGTCCACAGATTTTTGGTTTTTATTCAGGATTACAGAAACTTTATTTCCAGAATGCTGTTTCGTAAGGTAGAGTAGTGATACTCAAGGGAACAAGGAATACAACGGGAACCTACAGACCAATCACTCTAATCTCAATGGTGGGGAAACTATTGGAAGCAATTCTGAGACAGAATTAATCTGCATTTGGAGAGGCAGGGATTAATCAGGAACGGTTGGCGTGGCATTAAGGGGAGGTCATATCTGACCAACTTGATTAAAATTTTTGGAGAGGTGACTAGATGAGGGGAATGCTTTTAATGTAGTCTGCTTGGACTTCAGCACAGCTTTTGAAAAGGTTCCCCATGGAAGACTGATTACAAAGGTAAGAGCCAATGCGATCCAAGGAAATTTGGTAAATTGAATCCACTGTGGCTGAGTGGCAGGAACCAGAGGGTGTTGGTTGAGGGGTGTGTTTCTGACTGGAGGCTTTGTCCAGTGGGGTCACAAAGGTCCATGTTGGGTCCTTGCTGTTTGTGATTTATATAAATGATTTTAGACTTGAATGTAGGTGACTTGATCTGTAAGTACGCTACTAATACGTGGGGTGATAAATAATTAGTAGGAAATCTTTAGATTACTGGAGAATATAATTGGGCTGATCAGTGGCAAATGGAATCCAATCTGTAAATGTGAGATTAATGCAGGACAAACAATGCAAGGGACTACATGATGAACATTAGGACCCTGGGAAGCACAGAGACCCGTGCATGTACACTGGTCCCTTAAGGTATCGGGCAGCTGGATGAAGTGATTGAGGAGGTAAATGGGATACTCTTATTGTCGAAGCAGGGAGGTTATGCTAGAATAAAATGTTAGTTAAGCCACAGCTAAGAGTATCACATGCAGTTCTAGAATCCACATTCCAGGAAGGATGTGATAGCATTGGAGAGGGTGCAGAGGAGAATTACCAGAATGGACAGAAGAGTTTTGATAATGAAGAGAGATTGGACAGACTGGGGTTGTATTCCTTAGTGTGGAGGAGGTTGAGAAGGGACATGATTGAGAGGTATGAAATTATGAGGGGGCATAGATAGGAATAAACTTTTCTCCCTTTGCTTGGGAGGTCTGTGACTGGGGCCACAGATTAAAGGGAAGGGGTAGAAGGTTTCGGATGGTAGGAGAAATGTTTACACCAGTGTGTGGTGGGAATCTGGAACTCGCTGCCTGTAAGGGTGGTAGAGGCAAAAACTCAACATTTAAGAAACATTTAGATGTGAACTTGCAATGCTAAGGTATACAAGGCCATAGACCAAGTGCTAGACAATTGGATTGGAATAGGTAGGTGGTGGTTTTTCATTGACATGGATATGATTGGCTGAAGGGCCTTTTACTGCGCTGTAGATCTCTAACATCATAATGAATTACAAGTCTATCAGTCAGTAAGAGTTGTTGTGAAGTTTTTTAATTGACCAGAACTGAAGGATAGAAATGCAACATTTTAAATTCATACCTTTTTTAAGAAAGTCCTTTTCATTGATCTGAGGATATTTTCTGTAGTTGTTAAAACTCCAATGTTGTACCGTATAATTGTAACAATAGTATTTTGAGAGTGTAATAACAGCACAATGAAAGCCCCTTCAATCGCTATATTTAAACTGACCACTTACATATTTAGAGATAGTAGGAACTGCAGATGCTGGAGAATCCGAGACAACAAGGTGCAGGGCTGGATGAACACAGCAGGCCAAGCAGCATCATAGGAGCAGAGAGGCTGACGTTTTGGGCCTAGACCCTTCATCAGAAAAGGGGGAGGGGAAG